CGAGCACTGTAATGAGGAAAAATCGAAACGCAGACCTCCTATGTAATGGTGGGGCGGATCCTTGCTTCCAGAACACCTATATTACGATGAAATTTATATCATGGTAACACAACACGTGATCATGACTAAGAACATTCTCAGTCGTTTAGTCTCCGTATCTCATGCCTGAACTGAAGGGACACTACTAATGAGGGGACATACATTTAGTCCAAAGGGTGTCACTTGAATGAAGGAAATTGCTTTTTACAGTGTTATTTATGTGAAAATGATACTTTGTTTATTAACTGCAGGACAACACATGACAAAAAAATTCCAAGTTTTGGGTCATCGAGTGAGTCACAAACCGAACCTGAATTAGATGGTGCTTCGTCTTCAGCAAGTGAGGCAACGTTGAGAGACAAAACTGTAAAGGATCATGAAAATCAAACAGACAACACGGCAAGGCGCGTAATAAGTGACTTGTGCAGTGGAGATCAACAAGAATCAGTATCGGAGGAGATTTCAGACCAGATGGAAAGTGAGGACATTAAGCCAGGCCAAACAGTTGAAGGTGTATCACAAGAAACAGCCCTGGTGGAAAATGTAATGGCAGCCGAAGGTGTATCACAGGAAACAGCCCCGGTGGAAAATGTAATGGCAGCTGAAGGTGTATCACGGGAAACAGCCCCGGTCGAAGATGTAATGGCAGCTGAAGGTGTACCACGGGAAACAGCCCCGGTGGAAAATGTAATGGAAGAAGACACATCGTGCCAGGTAAGTGGTCTAAGCAGCGCTATAAGTTAAAAGTACTCGAGTGGTACCACTTTGCATCTATAAAGACCTATTACAATGATATGTTTCAGTTACCACCATACTGTTAGAAGTCTTACTCGATCACTCAACGGATTTTTTGTTTTCAAACCATCTGTTCCTCGTTTCAGATAATGACCGTGAGCAAAACATCTACCTTAGACAGAACAGCTGTAAGATTTATAGTAGATTTATAGTAAGACGTGGGCCACCATCGGACATCTATTCTGACAATGGTACTAACTTTGTCGGAGCCGATCGAGAGCTTAAGCAAAGTCTAGAGGAGTGGAACCAGTCTCAGATCTCAGATTACCTGTCTCAGAAGGATATTCAGTGGCACTTAAATCCTCCTGCTTCCTCCCACTTTGGTGGGATTTGGGAACGTTTGGTTCAGTCATGTAAGAAAGCCCTCAAAGTGGTGCTTCATGGTCAAGTAGTTACAGATGAAGTTTTGGAAACTGCGTTTGCGGAAACAGAAGCTCTGGTAAACAGTAGACCTCTTACTGAAGTGAACAGTGACAGTGGGTTTGAAGCAATTACTCCGAATCATTTCCTTATTTCTCATGCTAATCCAGTGCTGCCCTGTGGCGTATTTTCCGACAAGGAAATGTCAAGCAAGAAACGTTGGAGACAAGTACAAGTTGTGGTTGATCAGGTTTGGCGCCGATGGCTGAAAGAGTATTTGCCTACCCTAACTGAAAGGAAAAGGTGGAATTTGCTATCACAAAATCTCGGTATTGATTATTTGGTCTTGGTCGTGGACAAGAAAACCCAAAGAGGAGATTGGCAGCTTGCTCGTGTCACAAAGATCTTTCCTGGGAAGGATGAAACAATCCGTGTTTCTGAAGTGAAGACAAAGTACGGTCTGTATAAGAAGCCTGTCGCGAAGTTAGCATTATTGGAGGAGTGTCCACCGTAAAGGATTACGCGAACACTGGCGGGAGAATTTCGCGACTATAAATACATTATTTTAGTTAAAATAACACTTAGTTCGGTTTATACGCTTTGCGTATCTACAATCGTGGCCACGTGACAATGACGTAACTCGAACCCTCGTGTTGTTGGATTTTGGTTTTGGTTTGGTCGCCATTTTTGTTTGGTGTAAAGTTTTGTCAATAGAAATACAGTTCTCACACACAAACTAAACTGTTTGGTCAGTTTAAGTGATCACTTTAGGTGACATTGGATGCTAGTTTGATTGCAACTTTGCTTTGTTTACGATGTCACAGGTAAAAAAAGGCTCATCTATACTAATTAATTTTCTAGGATCCCTCTTTCGCGTGGAAATGCGATGCCACGACGCAATGCAAGTTCTTGAAATCCATGGATGGAAGAGAGCGACTGAAATCCTACAACTTGCAGATGAGTCCTTTCTGAAAGTCGATAAGAAGATGGAGAACGACGATCCTTACAGATTTGCTTTTGCCACTAACCAAAATCTCGCAGGCGAGATTTTCTACAAAAAGGGAAGTGTACAGGAAGCACTCCGAAATTTTCATTCCTCACTTGTTTTGATGGAAGTACTCGTCGGAAATCATACAAGTACCACAAAATGTTTAAATGCGATATGAAACTGCCACAATACGCTTAGAAACTTTAAAGATGCGATGACCTTTTGCACAAAAGTTTCGAAATGCGAAAAGCTCTTTCAGATTCAAAGAACCATTTGGATTTGTCATTTTTCAAGGGCAAGATAGGTACGGTTTATGAAATGCAAAAAGAAAATGGCAAGGCTATTCTGTGTTATCAAGAAGCTCTGGAGCTTTCTAAGCAACTGAAGCATCGCCAACGCTCACGCATGGAAAAGAGAATTTGAGAAAGCCTACAAGTCAGCAATGGATACATATTAGATAAGACAAGACATATTAGGTGACCATCCCGACAGGGCGGGGAGTGCATTTCAGGTGGGAGAAATCTGCAGAAGCTTAGATCAGTCGGAAGAAGCCGAAGAATTCTTAGACGTGGCATGGAGAATTGAGAAATCTTTAGAAATGGGCAACACAGCGAAGTGAGGGATCGGATTGTAAAAAGTTACGAAAGCTTCCTCACTGGTGACAGGCCAAACGAGTTCCGGGAAGAGGCCTTGGAATTTTATGTAAGATTGTGGCAAGAAGACAAAGAATTTACCTACGTCAAGAAGAGTATCATCGATCAGATCATCGAGACAAAAAAATGAGGAGCAAATACCGGAAGGAGGCTCTGGAGTTTTATGTAATGGCCTGGAATTCGCCAGATCTTCAACAACTCCCACGAATCCAGCGTAAAGATATCTTGCAGAATATATTGTACTTAAGTAAAGTGCTTCGTGAGAAAGAACTGTACAAGAAATTCCAAGGCGAGCAATTTCGATTCTTTGAAATGCAATGGGAATGGAGAACTGTCATGACTGCTCAAGACGTAAAACATATTCTTCGTACTCTTTAAGGCTTAGCCACACAACTGGGTGACGTAGGAAAGAGCGAGAAATACAAGAAACTCTATGAGGTTATAAATGGCGATTATTTAAGAAGCGAATAAAGATGAATGTCAGCCATTTTTCCAACAAGTGACCTTTAAGATAGCAAAGGTAATTACGCGCGCACCGTGTTTTGAACATGGCAGCTCTCAGTCTTAACCAAGTGCCTCTCTCAAAAGACGGGAATGGTAAACAGCGTCGAGTGAACTGGGGAATTGCGTGCATGCCTCCTCAATTTATATCTGGTTTTATGTATGGTGTGATCTTTATTATTAGTAGCTTAATGTTTCCACGTTCGTATCTGGTCCTATTGCAGATCAGAAAAACAAACTGAACATAGTGCATTAGACAATCCCAGTGTGAATGTCAAACGCCTTTATTGATGTGAGCCTAACAGTATGTTTAACCTCTATCAAACCATCAGTGTCAACAAGAATTCGTTTATTAACTCATTACTGCAGGAATACATGAGAGGGGAAAGTTCACAGCAGTTTATGCAGATTGTTCCAGGTGCAGGTACATGGCTTCGAACTGACATAATTTTCCACTGGATTAGTTGGTGATTGAAAACAATTGAGGTCAATGTATTTGTAGGGGGGGGGCAGGAAATGAACATTAATTGCAACTTATATTTCACTCCAAGGATCAGCGGCGGAGCCAGGTAGCAGCTCAAGCGGTGGTGACCAACCTGGTGTAGTTCCTGCAAAGTCTCGTAAAGAAGAGAAGCATTCAATTCGGATAGAAAACACAACTTCTGTGTCCCAGGAAAAGAGCGAGAACATGTAAGTACAACCCTGGCTCTTCCTCTTTAAGGGCTATTGGGCTCCCATAGCGCTAAGCTTTCTCCAAAAGCCAAGTTTCTCCAGACAACTCGAAAGCAGAAAAATCTTTTAATTAACTTCCTGCCTCTCTGCAAAAGGCATCGGCCTACACTTGTTGTTACGAATATACATCCGTTTCTAATGGCGTAATCTCTACATTTCGCACCTATCCTGTATAGGCTTGTTGTAGAGAAGCCAATGGCTTTAAGCGCTGTTGAAGAATCATGCTCTGACACCCAAATACTTACGAAACAGGTACGTACATTCATTTGCTAAACAACGATCTTTTTCTCTGCACGCAGAAAGAACATACAAGAAATGTTTAGGGATATTAAAAGCTGTAAAAGAGGAAATTTATCCTACACTGAATCGCCTACAAACATCAGCAAGACCACTTGTGTTGAGGAGAATCGTGTTCTTTGTTGCAAACCAACCAAGGTCTCATCAACCCTGCAAAATGGCCATACATAGGAGAATTCTGGTCTTTTTTGCGTCGAGTTTCCCCACAAAGTCATCAAGGTCTTAGTCGAAGTAAAGTCAGAAGTTGAATCAATACGTTTTATCATTTCTATAGGACGAGCAAGAAACAGCTGAGGGTGATTTATCCGAGGAAAAAGGTAAAGTTTGCATAAACTTTTCGTTTACATCAATTTTAGTCTTTGTCTTCTCCTATCATGTTGTACGATCCCAGTGTACGCTGAAAAGGAGGTAAATATATAGATAATTGAATAACGAGTCCTAAGCGAGAGCAGCCAATCGTCAAACAACAACATAAAGTGTTTCTTTTTTTAAGTAGTCAATCAGTGTAACGTTTATCTTTTAGAAAAGTTGACTAAAGGATGATGTGCGCTCACGTATGCAAGCCAGTACGGGCTGATATAGGTTCTCCTCTATTTTGTCTGAGTTAGATCTTTCCACAATACAAGGCGACGTCCCTGACAACCGTATAGGCATTCAGCTAAGGAAGAATATCAACAGAGCATCCGAGATCATTACAAGCAAAGGTGGCGAGGTCACAGCAAATGATGTCCAACTCGTATGCTCCCCCGGAGCTGTTGACAATCCTGTGTCTGTGGAGATAACTCTGGAGGATCCAGTAACGTACTATGGCTTTGTAGTGCAAAGAGGGCTCGAAAATGACATCGCGTTTGGCGCACCGGTAATCAATCTCTTGCCGCACGGTTATTTTTTTAAGAAACCCATAGCACTTACATCCAGGGTTAAGATCGATCAAAGAGGTTCAAATTATCGTGATGTCCTAGTATTACATGGAACCGAGGCCAAAGACGGAACGATTTCCTGGAGGGACATTACCAAAACCGCCACCATTAATGTCTCCAAAGGTGAGGTCATCGTTAAACTCGACCGATTCTCCAAAGTTGCTTATCTACTGACACTGACTTGGATAAAAGCCAAAGAGATTGTATCACGACTCAATCTGATGCCATTCAAGTATTCGGTATCAGCTTTCTTCAAAAAGAGCCCTTCAGAGCTTGCCTTGGCATTCATGAGTGAGGACATTTTCCACGAGCCATACTACAAAGAGCACCATGCCTCTGTCTTCGCGCAAATGAGAAATGAGGGATTCGAACTGCTCAGTATGCGTTCCAGTGGCGAGCATTCAGAGAGGAGTATCTATAACAGTGAATGTCTTCAAGTCTCTGTTGATCTCGAGGAGGACTACCAGGTGGTTGGCGAGCAGGCGAATCTTGTTATTGTAGATTCTCCTGTCTGGTGGAGTACTGGCGAAATAATCAAACTCCCTCTGCACGCAATCAATGATGTCGGGATACTATGCGGAAGAATCAAAGTACAGGGCCAGTATGGGCACTCCAGAGAAAGCCATTTTTCCGAACAAGGTTAGTGTACATGAGATGGTTGTGATTAGGGTAACTTAATCATATCAAGATGATTAGCCCTCTTTCGGCTCCTTGCGTCTTATTTCAATCTTAACGAGCATACGTTGTTGTGAGTCATACGTCTTTGGCATTTAGAATTTTAAAGCCGAATGAAGTGCCCTTTAGCGGATTAACGTTATTTAAGACATACTTGGCTATCCATCGGATGATGTTTAGTGACTGGATAAAGTGACCATTCTTTCGAACCCAAAGTGTATTTCATACCCCTTAAAAGATATTGCGACTTTTAATACATATTCCTTTCCCAGTAACTGGCTCTTCACTTTTACTCGATCAACTTATTTATATGTAGATTTACAGTGAACTGATACGCTCTCGTTACACTTTTAAGTCCCATACCTTAACGACAATTAGGATAGGTTTTGCACCTTCAACTATAAGTTGCAAAGCTTGACCTTCGACTTGAGCCGAAAGAGATATCTTTCAATGAATGGAAAGCAAAACTAGGTGCAGTGAGAGTGCAAGCCTCATAGGCCACGAAAAGTCAGAAGCAAAAGATTGAAGCTAATGAGTAATTACAACTTTTCTACCTCTATTCCGCTTTAAAGATCCACTTGGCTACGTCAGACGGTTGTTGGGGGTCGAGGGAGAAGTGTTCAACCTCATTCCCTTTCTGGTGCAAAAGATTCAGATGTCTGACGTCGATGATGTTTGTAAGGACGTCGTCAAGCACTGGCAAGATGATGATGTCCAATTAAAGATACTCTTGCAGCCCTGGATTGGGGCTGGCTCAGCTAATACTATGGATAATTTGAAAAGACTTCTATCGGACTTAAAGGAAGAAGGTAAGTTAAAGAATTTAAAGTACTCTTCCTGTGTGGAAAGCTGCTTTCAAGTAGTAGGTAAAAGAATTTTAAGAGAAAGCAGTAAAGTTAGGTCGCAGACCAATAAAGTGGAAAACAAGAATCTTCTCCTAGCATCGTGACAAAGAGTCACTTAATCACCCATGGAACGTCATCATCATGTACTTTGCGTCCTACTCTTGATATAGATTTATCAGCTTTGCGTGTTTTTCAATACAATAGAGCTCACTTAGTCATTAGGAGAGGTAGGCTAAAGCAAAATTAGTAAAATAAATGGAACAGAAATAAACTTTGAGTTTGTGACAAAGCTCGTCAGAAAGTTAGATCTGATAATGCCAGAAGGGTTCAAGGTTCATTGAGCACTGGCTCAATGATAACTACAAAAAGGACATCTTAATTCTAAACAACATTTCTTAAATCACCATATGAAGCTGCATTTCATGATGCCTCTCATTCATGACCTTATTTGGTTATTCATTTATCTTTTTCGTTTTTGCATTTGCATTTCTTTTAGACTATAAAGTGACAAAAAGAGGCCAAATGCATATTAGAAACTTAAGAGAGCTTGCAGTGAAGATCACGGGATTAAAAGTCCCCCATGGTGATTTAAAGAAGTTTTTCATCGAAAAAATTCAAATTCTTTGCCAAGCAGTGATGAGAGATTGTTGCATTCAAGTAGAGAATTCAAGTGAAGATATCGATAGAGCCTCGTCATCCGGTGACTATGCAAAGCATCTTGAACTTCGAAAAAAGATTTCCAAAAGAACAGCTGCAAAGTACCAAGGATTGATCTCATCCAAAGATGAATCAGTTATGACAACGTTTTTAGAAATCGTTCCTGATCTCATTCAAGGCGTGAAAGCCATGTTTGGCGCGCAGAAAATTCCCCCTGCGTTCAATGGTCTGAGAGGAATAGATGAGAGAACACTGGGGCCAATGGCATCCAAGGTTCGAGAATCTCAGGAAAACAACAAGATCAAGAAGCTTATTTGTCATATTTGCGAGATTGTGGAAAAGCTATGCGAACTAAACTGTAACAGCAACAACCCGCCTGAGCATGTACGAAAGTTGGGCCAAAGTCTAGCGATTCTACCTATGCTGGACATTTTACAGTTATTTTTCTTAAAATGTCCAGAGGAAATCCGGCTGCTCAAGAGGTTGGAATTGCTTTCGGTTTGCATAAGAGACATAATTTCCGATGAAATAGAAGTCAACGAGGCGACTATGCGCGACTTTTTCGACCTGTCCGTTAGTCTGATACAGTTCGCAAAATTTGATCCAGCCAGAATGGTGAGGTTTGAGCTGAGTGACTCGAACAAACCCTCCGTGCCGTGCCAAAAGGGAGGGCTAACGTACGAAACGGACAGTGACACCTTCTATCAGGAATTCGTCGTTGAAAACGAAATTGAGCAAGATCTGCTGCTCAATGCAGTCGCAGTCATCAATGTGGAAGGCAGAACTCACAAAATAGGTACCGGTGCTTTCAAGTCAACTATCATACTTCCGGCATCTGAGGAGGAAGCTTTCGACGAATGCTGCACCTCATTTGGTTCAACTGTCAGCGTGAGGAAGCTGAAGGATCAGAACTCCTCCAACTTTAGAGTGGTTCTTTGTTCAACAGTGAAGGAGATCTTATCACGGGTGCTCGTTGCGCTCAAGCGAAACCTAAAGGATGAGGTGGATTGGAAAGGGTCAGAGGTTGCCGCCTGTAAACTCACGATAAGCACCCGTGCCATAGAACCTCCAAAAACGAGTGCTAAACTTCGCCTGGTTTACAAATGGAAATCAGCGGCACTTCGTCTTGAAAGTCAAGACTTTATCGCTGATACTGACTTAAATACCGACAACAATTGGGGTAAGTATTCTTCGTGGCGATCAGCACATTTTGAAGTACCACAAATACTGAGTGTTACCGTCTTCAAATTGACGATATAATTTCAGTTGCTCATCTCTTCTCGTAATTTTTTTTCCAGGAGTGGGTGATTCGTTGGATGGAGATGCAGCTCATGTATTATCGCCAATTGCTGATGGCAATTTCCTGAATGACTTTGCGAAACAGCGGTCGCAGACACAAGTTCCTTCGCAATTCCACATAGGTAATGCAGTAGTGCAGGCATAGTTTTAACTTTCCTGGGATTTTAAAGATGCTGAATTGTGACTTATCGAGTCCATAGGTAGATTTTTCCGTAAAATTTAAAATACATTTCATATTTTTGATGAGGCCATAGGTCTCCTCTAGAGTTCTTCGGATTATCTGTAATATTCTATTGAAAATAGTGAGGAAGAGAATTCATGAAAAGATAAACCCCTTTAGGAAGGTCTCACGACCTCTCATCCGTCTTTTCTCTATTTCTGTTCCTGGTTATTCTTTCAGAGTATCATCAACACGTTCATCATGTACAAAATATCCAAGACGTAAATGTTAACTCTGAGTACTGCGCAGTCGGAGACCATTCTTCCTTTTCCATTCAGGAACCATCAACCAGCCCAAGGTTTGTGTCGTCTGTTATTTGCTTAGATTAACATTTAGTTTGCTCAAGTTATGAAACGAAAACAGAGGATCTGTCGGTTTCAGGGTCAGCAACACTTTTAAGGTTTCTTGGTTCCGCAGTACTGAGGCACACTCAATCTTTGGACGCTGGGAATCGTGAACTCGTCTTAATCTAAGCGAGATGTCTTTGCTAAGGACATGGAAACTGGCCAAAAAGGGCATGTACAATTGTTGCTCAACTCTTGCCATGTCAGGAGAAAGCCAATAACACACAGACTGAGTTCCTTTGTAAAAGAAAGTGTTTCTAATAGTTTCGTGAGACCGAAATCGAGGAAACGATCAGGTGTTAAAGGTAAAATGTGTATCTACTGTACCCCCATTGAAAACAAGAGGTAAGGTAAGTTACCAAGTCAAAGGACAATGGTGATTTACTCCTCAAGTGGGTTCGGCAGTTTACCGAGTTTCTGTCGTTGAACATTCGCCACTCGATAATTCCCGCTGCAAACTTTTACACCCTAACATCAGAATATAATGCATATTCTCCATACTGTTCTCTATACATTTCCTAGGGTGCTGACAAGGAGAATTCGTTCGACAATCAAGAGCTTCCCTACTTAGTGATCGTCTCCTTCATTCTCGTGGTGACTATAATGTGTGATTGGGGGGGGAAGGGTAGATACTGTCAGGCGAAATTAATGGTCACTCTTAGATGTTAAAAGGTAAAGTCTTGTTCTCGTTAACTTTCAGAGCCCTTCCACCAGGTCCGAGTATAGCTACACAGAGAAGCATAACTGACGGCTCGCAGAACAGAGACACAAACTCTTCTGGAGAATAAAAAATACCCGCTGTTGGAAAGAAATCTCAGTTTGGAATTCATTTCACATGTTATTACGATAAATAACGCTTTAATTCACTCTCTGTATCTCTGCGACTTAAAACTTACTGATTTTAAGGTGGCAAAATTTTGAATGCTCGGACATCATTATTCACTGCTAAAATTTTATTTAACTGTATCCGTAAATGAATGTTCTTGTTTTGTTTGTTTGTTTGTTTGTTTGTTTTTAAGTGGAAGAGAATTTTATTCCCCAGTCTCTTCTTCTTGTCGAATCATGTAAAAAACTACTCACGATTGACTTTTTTTACAGCATTTTAGAGGACGACTTTAAGGTTTTGAAAGCAGGAAAAAATTGCGAAAACTTGTGGACTCCACTCAGTTTTTTAAACACATTTTAGAAATCTTCTGTTAAGCAAGTAGAAAACTGCAATAAAAAAATCCGATGCGAGTGATGATCCTCTAGAAAGTCTTTCCTGAATTTGAACTGAAAAAAGGCTTAGTTTAATATTTCAAACATCCACCACTACGTTTCTTGCGCTACACTGTCAGCCGGACAACCTGATTCAGTCAAGTCACGAAAATATTTTAGTCCTTACATTCCAGCACACTCTCTCCGACGACTGGTCTTCTTTTTCGAAAACTCGCATGCTTTCCAAAGGGCAAGTAACACTAGCTACATGCCACTATAGCTGCCATGTGATCCATGCCGCAAGTCACTTCCATTACTTTGCCTGATACTTTAACCTGAAAAGCCATAAATAAATGAGAGGTTTATATAAATTTCGCTCAGGAAGTTTAACAGGCCAAAACATTCTCCGAATGATGAATCCGTCAGCCCGTCTCCCCTTTCGTACCACCGCCAGTAACTCAGTTGTTTTACTTAGAGACTCAACTTGCAAGACCAGGTCACAAAGGCTTTTGAGGTGCAACTCACCCGCCTAGACGTCCATTAATTGAGTGTGAAGTCAAGACCCAGTCTCCCAAATGACCCTCTACCCCAGGTGTACAGGTTTCCTGATTCTGAGAGAGGTAGCTAGAGTAAAAATAATTGTGACTCACGAGAAGTCCTGATTTTGTGCTGTTTTTTTTCCAATGTCTTGCACCTGTCTCGCAATATAAATTATGCATTTCCAGCTTCATGTGGAGATTTTTTCAAGAGAAATGCGTCCATTTGCGTGAGCGTGAAAAGAAATCGGAGAGGTAATGATATCGCGGTTAGTCACGTCTTTTTTAGGGAGGGGAGGGTGGGGGGTCAAGACATAAAAAGGAGGCAGGAGGAAACAATGCCCGAGAGGTCGAGTTATGCCGATAAGACGTGGGTCCCAAATGTTGTTTTGTTATACAAACCTCTTACCACAGCGCAACTTACAGGGCCACAAATCAAGCTTCAAATAGTGTCACCTACGTTGGAGAACTCCTCGATTTTTCTTGGCGTCTTTGAATAGGAAACTTCTTTACCGTGTCCAAGAACCCCGTATCCCCAACTGTAAAGTTCTCCGGTGAGTAATTGGCGGAGGGGAAAGTAAAAGATAACAAAAATTACAGTGAGAGTGTGGTCCCATAACATGAGGCATCGAGAAACCAACAGAAAGTTTCGAGAAAGAAATTTTGAATAACTGGGGCAGGGTGGTTTGTAAGTACAAATAGAAAAATAGACACCTTGAAACAGAAACTAGAGCGTCCAAAAAGAGTTTGACATAGGATCCGACAAGAGTGATGACAGATAAAATATTTGTTTGCTTTGTGGGCTGGTACAACTTTGTAAAACACTCAGCTTTTGTCATAAATCACGGAATACCTTTGCTTTCGAAACTTCGGCGTTATTGTAGAGATTCTTATCAGTCGTTCAGTAAACGAGTACAAAGATAATGCAAACTTTCCTGCTCTTTAGAAGAAATTCACTTATAGTAGGTTGATTTAACAGGTGACAAAATAGATTAGGAAGACAAACAACTGAAGCGCGCAATTTTTAGGATTTCAAGATAGATCTCTTTTATTCCCACTTCCTTCCTCATCAATGTTTTGCTTTGCTCTGTGTGGTTTATAATTCTAGGAACTGTAAACCTATTGACTCAGAAATCTGAGACTTCTTCGCTGAATTCAAACTACCGAATTATCATGAAAGATTTCGAAATATTTTTGGTGGGTATTTGTGGCACAGCATAGGAGGTAAAATAATGTTTTACACAATATCCGATATCTATGCAATAATTTGCTTTTTTTCCGCACAGTGTAGAAATTCACCCTTATCTGTTTCTACATGTCCATTTCTAATCCCTTTCTAGATTTTCTAAAATTACCATAACAAGGAGCGTGTGGTAACGCAACTGTTGGTTAACCAATAATGTCTTGAATGCTACGTTGGGGAATCCCCGGGTTTATGTGGTCATAGATAAAATATTCTTAGAAAAATATACTTACTTTAGCATTCTATCGCTAACCAAGCATTTTCTTCGCAGACACGGAAACTGTTCTCGTTGATTCTTCTTTATCAATTTTAGAATCGAGTAAAGAACTTGTAGCTTTGTGTGAAACTGGCAAAGGGGTTTGAATCGCAATAATTCACCGACTGGTTCTGCACCAAACAGGAAACTTTTTGATGCAATATATTTGCATCCCTGTTCTTGAAGAAAAGCGGAGATCTCGAAAAGCTTCCATCGGTCCTGGTGGCAAGAAAATACTTGTATAACTATGGCAATGAATCTTCTAGGTACCCGAGTTGTTCGTGGTGAAGATTGGCAATGGGGAAACCAAGATGGAGGAGAAGGTTTTGTGGGGACAGTAGTTCAAGTCGGACGAGACAAGAAATCGCCTGTGATGGCACAGCTTGTTTATGTAGAGTGGGATTTCGGAGTGAAGGCGAACTATAGGGTTGGATTCCAAGGAAAGCACGACCTTCGTGTTTTTTGCCTCACAAGCGGCGGTGGGTGATAATCACGATTTAGCTTTTTTGCTATTTATTGTGCATTGATTGGAAATATTTGCCCAGATTTATCCAAACAGCCTTAGCTGTCAATTATACTCCTTAAAAAAGAAGCATGATATAAAATACAATCTCAGCACTTCTGAAGGGAGGCACATGTTGCAAAACAATAACACACGAGCACGAGGTTTAGAAAACATGTGGACTGACATGCAGTTGACCTGGAAAAATCATTTGATTTTCAACTGAAGTTCAAATCCCGAGACAATCTGACTTGAAAATTAAACAGCGATCTTCGTTTCAAATTCAATACTTTCTCATTAAATGCTTCCCTTGCAAAATTCTACATCGTCGAACTTTTCAGTTATCGCTTTGTTTTTCATTCCACATAAGTTTTTATACCCTGAGTTTGAACTGTTAGACTGCGTTGTTTATTTTGACTTGCTATATATTTCATTACTGCATAGTAGGCAGATTTCTAACGCCTCAGCTTGCTTTCAAAGTGAAAGCGGATGTGTCACAGCATATGTCAATTGCATCACAAAAAGCTGCTTTCAGATACCAACAGACCTAAAGCTATTATCAATTCAGACAGCAAGTTATTGAAGCCGCAAGTAAAGAGTGACCTCAAGTGACTTTAGCCTTGATATAATAAGTCTTCCTTGTTTTCCGACAAGTTCAACTTGTCATTGATTAAGGCTTCCAAACGCTGTCAGGAAAGTAAAACAAATAACGTAAAGGTTTTACTTTACGTTTGATACGTTCACAACAATACCTCAGGCTCTATCTAAAACATTACTAATTTATGCGCGAGTGTCACTCTTCCCGTTAGCAAAAAAAATGTGTAAACGCTTGGTCCGCACCGCAGCTGTTCTTTGGGATGCCAATCAACGCCTGCCAATCTCATGCCCCTCCTCTAACAAAAAGAAAAAGGTGTAGAAGGATGCTATAGAGAATTAGCAACATTATGAAATAGGCTAAGAGGGTGAATAACAAACTGCTCAATATAACAAAAGAGCTGGGCAGATGTAGGGATACAGGCCGACTTGTTCTTTACGCAACGCGTCACTAGAGTTCATCGCACAAACTCGTGTAGCC